GTGTTTGGAAAGGTATGCCGGTTCGATACATGGAAATTGCATGTGTGTGTGTATGGGGGGAGATAAGCTGCAAGCTGTCCTCCACAATCAGGGAGCCGAGTGGGCCTGCACATGCACCCACGGCCTTCCCTCCTACTACCCCCATCCGTCCCCCAAACCCCCCACCTTGTAGGACTGCTGCGTGTAGGGTGTGCCCTTGCTCATGACCACGAGGCTGCTGCCGCTCATGGAGCCGGCCATGGCTGTGATGTAGTAGCCCTCCTCCCACTTCTCCATGATCCACTCCTGGGGGGGGGGGCAGGTAGGGGAGGCGCAGGGCGATGCGAAATGAGTGTGTTTGTGCGTGCGTGTGTGTGTGTGTGTGTGTGTGTGTGTGTGTGTGTGTGTGGTGGGGGGCAAGGGCGCATGCGCAGCGGAGCCGGGTGGCATGCGCCTGCAGGCGCACCTGCGGCTGTGCATTTGCATGTCGTGGCCAACCCTGTCACCAGGCTCCCTCCTCAAATCAGCACTTCATCCCACACCCCTTCCCTGCACCCCAACCTTCCACATGTAGACACACACGTACACATACACACACACGCACACACACACACACGCACACGCACCTTTGGCAGGAACTGCGTGCTCATGGAGTAGACCTGGGCGGTAAAGCCTGTCCCGGCGTCCATGATGAGCGCCCACAGCTCCTGGCAGCACGCCACGCTGCTGATGTACAGCCCGTCGTCGTTGCCCTTCTCGACGTGCTGTGTGTGTTTGTGTGTGTGTGGGGTGTGTGTGTGTGTGTGTTTGCGCGCGCGCGCATGTGTGTGTGTGTGTGTGTATTGGTGTGTGAAAGAGAGAGAGAGAGACAGAGAGATAGAGACACAGAGAGAGACAGAGAGAAGAGTGTGTGTGTGTGTTCCCCTGTCAGATTCACTCTCTATGTCTCCACATCCCCGCAACGACCCATCCACGCACCCCGCACCCACCTTTCGACCCTTGCACACACCCAGCCAACCCATTGACCCCCGCACCCATCCCCCACCGCCCACACCCCCCTAACCTGGTCCACGCGCGTGTTGGCCACGTTGTAGTGGTAGCGCTGCTTCATGGGGCGGTGCGCGTTGTACACCGTGATCCACTGGGTGGCAGGCAGGCCCAGCCGCACCTGGTGACGTATGGATTATGTGAGGGCCGGCGAGTGCAGCGGGAGGGCGGCGGTCAGGGGTACGCGGGAGCTTGGAAGGAGTGCGGGGCTGGCGCGAATGGTTGTGCGTTTGAAGACCTTGCATGAGTGCGGGTGCGTGCACCGTTTGGTTGCGGCCGCATGCGTAAAGGCCCCAGATTTTGATTAAACCGCATCCTCCTTGTCGCCATGCGCCCGCATGCACACCCACAGACCTGCACGCGAGAAGACACGCGCACCCTCTCGCCTTGCCACACAGCATGGCGCGCACACACCCACATCAAGCAACAAACCATGCGTGCGTCACCCCCACCTTCTTCTTGGGCAGGGCCCCATCGTCCAGCAGGTCGTCCCCCGCGTCACGGCCGCGCTTCTGGCCCACCATGACCTGGTGGTTGTGTGAGTGGGTGGATTAGTACTAGGTGGGGCACTATTGTGGGGGGCATGGTGTTGGGGGTTGGGGTTGCAAAGTCAGGATAGAGACGGAGGATGTGGCAGGTGCAGGAATGGCTTTGGCCAGACACCAAGACACGCGGGCGCCCAGCACTGAAACCTATGAGTCACAAGGCAATGCTGCAGGCGGTTCTGGAGTGCGGTGCCGTCACTGAGGCCACCGTTCCCCCCTCCCCTGCCTACGCCAACACACCTTGACCGCGCCCTCCGTGATGATGGGCCTGCTGGGTGACGGCCCGCACAGCGGCTCGAAGAGCTTCATGTAGGCCTCGTACTTGGGCTCCTCGTCAAACTTCTGGTTGACCACGCCCTGCGGGAGCGTTTGACCGGGGTTGACTAGGTTGATTGTGACCGCCTGACTGCTTGATTGGTTAATAATAGTGCGGCTGACTGGATGCTTGATACAGACACAGTGATGTTTCAAAATTGTTTCGGCTTGAACACAGGGTGATAGACAAAGGTTTGCAAGATCAAGAGGCCGCCACACCTCCGTGAAGAGCCTGAACGCCGGCGGTGTGTAGCGGCAGAGCATCTCCGCGCTGGTGGCCATCTTCTTCTTGCACACCAGGTAGCCCTTGTTGTCGCCCTGGTAGCCCTGCCACGGC